GGTTTACAGTTTCGTAAATTTGCAGAATATTTTGACCGTAATATTGCGTAAATCTTACGATATTGAAAACTTACGTAATATTTTAACCGTAATATCACATAAATCTTACGAAATTGTAAACTTACGTAATATTTTGAAATTTTTCGAAATATTATGCCATAAACTTTCGTAAACTTACAAAATCGTAAACTTACGCAATTTTTTGCGCTATAAAATTTCCTGATGATGGCCTGTAGAGTTTCGGCAGGCAACTTTAATCATAGATCATCAAATATAGGCCAATTTGTATTAAGGCTGAATATTCCAAGTCGATTGTGTTATTAATAAAAAAATCGATAAAAAAAAAGTACTGGTCGATTTATGGTTTTTTTTATGTTACAACTCAATCAAAAATTAGCCAAAAATTGACCAGTTGATTTATGCCAAATTTTTCTGAATTTTGTAATTAGCCGATTGTGTGACGAATCACGTGATGACAATGACGAACTTTTGACAAAAGGTATTAATGCCGAAAGAAATGATTTCGACTAGTGAGTACAATAATTGTACAAAATAAAGCTTTGAACTTTTCTTACAATTGTAATCAGTTTATATCAATTTTTACAAATTAAAGTAATGTTCTAATATAAAGCATTTGATAAATAATTTATTTGTATTTTGTATTTAACTTTTATATATTTAAATATCATATATATATCTTTATACTATTTTTTTTATTTTTTAATAAACCTTATTGTTTTTTTGATAAATATCAGTGATTCTATCAACCATACCTGTAAAAAAAATCAATCCATTTTTTTATATTCCATCTTTTTTCCGTAAAGGCTTATATTTCCGGAATTAATAACCTTATATCACGGAATTTATCGAATTATTTACATTTTTCATGAATGGATCCGTGAAAGGCTCATTTTTATGGAGTTTTTTCAGGAATAACGGATAAAATTTTTTTATAGGGCATGCCAGGCTGAGATTAATGTGGCTATGGCTATGATTTAGGCTTTGATAAAATAAATATAAATATAAATAAGCCATGGCTATGATTTAGGCTTTAATGAAATAAAAATAAATATAAATAAGCCATTTGTCTTCCTTTACCCTTTTCTTCTTTTATTTACTTAAATGTTAAATATTTAAAAGTATATATTATATGTAATATAAACATTAACTGTTAATATAAACCTGCCTAAACTCATTTGAAAATGTATATATAAGATTTTTCAAGATTTGTATTCGCAAAGCTGGATTCACAAAAAAGACCATAATAATTTAGAATTTACTATTGAACGTAGATAAAGAAAATCAATTATTTAATCTCGAAATAGGCTTTTAAAACATTTCTTTAAATTATAGTAGAAGCCGCAGCAATTTATGCTATGCTGTTTATTACCAAAGATTTCTCATAGTAATAAGCTTATTAAATATTTTAAAGCTTTTTTTGCCATAATATTGTCACTCTGATGAAGCAGAAGAGACAATCATGCTCAAGTCTCTCATTATCAATCCCCGATTTTCTATCTTAACCTCTGATGCCATACAACTAAGTTATCAAAGGAGAAAATTATGAATTAGAAGGAATCAAGACAATCACTAGACAAGGTATCTTTGAGAACGAGATAGAAATCATCTCGCCATAATAGTAGATATGGTGGTTACTTCTGAAGTGGATATTATAAGTGATTTCTGCTTGGAGAAATTCGAAAGTATATTGGAAAACATTATACCTTACCCCTGGCAATAATGATGATGTTCACAATTCTATTAAGCGTTTCAATAGAAATTTGAAAAGTGAAATTAACACACTCAAGACTGTTTACACTATGGAGAAGGAAAACTTGATACTGATATTTGTGGCCATTGCGAGACATATTGCTAAGATAAGGAATGGATTATGGAATATGGAAAAAGATGAAGTGTTAAACTCCTTTAATATAAATATCTTATTAGAGAGTGGATTAGAGCTATAAATGAACAAGAAATATAATTATTGTTTAAAAGTTAGTTAAAAATTATCACTAATGGCAAGCAGTAGAAGTTGTGCGTAATAACATATGACACATTATTTAGAAAAACTTAGGATGGTATGAGCGCGCCCTCCAAGAAGCTCAGAAGGTTCGAAGCGAATTTCTGAAGCAAAACTCTGAATACCTTATGGAGTTAACAAAAAAACTCAAAAAGAGACTTGTAGATAAGACGAAATTACCGATAATTCTTTAGCCTTAAAGTGTATGCTTCTTCATTTGAAAATATCTTGACTATGACTTTCTTAATATAGTCATTCGGATCCTTTTCAACTCGTAATTTTTTTTCGTAAGACTATCATATTTCTTGTTCTTACGTAACGCAGTCTTTATTACTTTGGGCAACTTCTACGTCTTTATGATCGATCATTTTTGTGTTTGTACTATAATGATAAAAAAATAATAATGTTACTCATGTTAGAGATGAATTTTTGCCCGAAATAAATATTGTGTTCTGTACATTTAAGCTGTTTAGCTTTTATTCCATACGGATGGATTCAGATTTCATAAAGTAGAATCTATTGCTTATTGTCCCGAGCAAAGCAGAGGACTATCTCGAGAGATAAAATTATAAAATTTCCTAGCCTGCAAAACGTTCTCCCACAAAATTCGCCACTGTTTCCTTTTTTGTATAATCTCCACAATCGTGTCATTTCCATTTAAACCCTTGAAAAATATTTGTTTTTACAACGAAAATCGTTCTTTTTTTTTTAAAAAAAAAAAACAAAAAGAAATTTTTTTATAAACAATGTTTCCATTACAGTTAGTCTTTTTTCAAGCTATTAGTTTTTTTATTCTTTTACAGTTTTTTATATTTTACAGTACAATAAAAATTTGGCAAATTTAAAGTAGAACGCTGGATGTTTATATATGCGCAGAATTTCTCTTCATAAATTTAATCTCAAATCTTCGTTTTCACAAAATAAACTTTAATAAAAACGAGTCAATTTCCTGTATAGTACATTAGTTATTGGACTCGACAAGCGCGCCAAAAAACTGGCTGTAATTTTCAGGACTGTAGTGCTGACCGGAATTACAAATAATGCCGGCCATTAATCACTCTATCACTCTACACTATATAAATTATTGGCGTGACGATTAAGATGTTCGTTTACGGAATCTTCAATTTATCCTCGTATTATTAACAAATTTTATAAATTTTATTTAAATTTTTAAATAAATTATAATAATTTACAATAAATAACACCTAAATTACTATATTTTTTTCTACCATTTTACAGCATATATTAATTATTAGAAAAAAAAAATAAAAAAACAAAAATACACAATATATGCTAATTTTATTGATACATCATTAAGCATTGATAATTTTTATTCATCTTGTTCGTACTTTTTTTTTAAATCCATTATTTGTCGTTCAATTTCTTCCAATTTGTTTCTTGGTTCTGGAATATCCAACAATTTTCTTAGATTTTTACTTATATGTAAAGGATCATAATTGAATTGAGTTTTTTTATTATCAATTGCATAAATCAATTTACGAACATCTTCTTCAGGAATATCACAATAACTGAAATATTTATAAGAATTAATTAATTAATTAGAAAAATCAAATAAATAAATAAATTTCATAATTTCTTTTACTTACATCCAATTTGGATTCGGCAATTTTCTTCTTTGATTATATGTCATATAAAATAATTCAATTTCCATAATAATCTTTTATTAAAACATAATTAGTATACCTAATTAGCAGTTATCATTTCTTTAATGATTATAATTAAATTCAGTTACCTTTGCTTTTTGAAGTAAAAATTGTTCGGGTTTGTTGTAATCTTCCATCGCAAAATTAAGCAATCCAATAAATAAATTATTAAGATAAACGATTAAAATAAATGTAACTAACACTGATAGAATTGCTACTAAAATAGGCTTCTGTGATGTTACCGAATCAGTAGAACCTATTATTAAAAACAATAATAATTAATTAATTCTTAATTAAAAGAATAATTAAATAATAATAATAATAAATTATTTTTTACCTACCTATAAGAATATAAAATATTGTTAGAAGTGAACTACCAAACTCATTAAATTTATCTTTGTTATCATCTGTGGATGATGAATTAGAAGTAGGTGTTGAATTAAAAGTAGGCGATGGATTAGAAGTAGGCGATGGATTAGAAGTAGACGATGAATCAGATGATGGATCTGTTACTCGTAAGAGAGTGAAAAATGCATGAGCAAATCCAAGAAAAACAAAAAGTAAGACTACTAAGAATGGGAAAACTTTTTTAGGGACGCCAATAATTATGGCAAAGTAAATTCCGAATGATTTAAATACTCGAAGAAATAATAATAATTTAAAATATAATAATAAATTAGAAATTGCTATAATTCCTTTAATAATATCGTAGTTTGATGTTGATTTTTCATTGTCAATCATATATGTAGATTTCATATCGCCATATTCGAGAATAAAATAATATATAGATGTTAAAATAGGTAAAGAATATGCTCCTAAATCTATTAATAATAAATAAGGTATTAATTTTTTTTTTTTTCGTTTAAAAAAAATAAAATAATCTTACATCTTACCAAAATAATTCCATGGATCATTAAAATAAACTTTTGGTTCCCATAAACAATGTCTAACTTCAAAAAATAAATGTATAATACCAAATAAACATGTAATTATATAATAAATATCACTAGGAACAATAACACCAGTATAATTAAAATCATTAGTACGTTCTAAATTACTCTTTGTGGTAGCCAATATAAAAAAAAGGAAAAAAAGAGTATAAAATAACCAAATCAAATAATAAATTTTTTTAACAATTTTCCATTTAAAATCTACAATTGCAACAAAATTCCACCATTTATAAAAATTTCCAGTATCTATATTACAAAATAGGAGAGAATCTTCTGGTCCGTGTAAAAAATCATTCCAAAAGTTATCTTCTCGACCTTCTTCACCATCTTTATATTCACAAATTGGAGAAAAAGGAACAATAAATCTAATAGATGCAGTTTCTTCCGGTATTCTTAAATCCTTCATGTCTTTATATAATGACGAAAATAATGTTATTGAACTATTAAGAAAACTATTAGTTGAACTTTTTCTAATAGAAATATCTTTCGAAAATGCCTTATAAGGTGAAGTCGAATTTTTAACGGATGAATTGGTGGGATCTAATATAAGAGATGTAATTGAAATATATTTCCTCGCTAATTTAGAATCATTATAATCACTTAAATCAAATAAATTTAAATCAATCGAAGGTAATAATGCCGAGATACTGTAATTTGTTGAATCATGTTGAATAATTTTATCGAGAATTGATTTAGCGACAAAGAAATATTTTTTTCTTGGGGTTTCCGTTTTACCCGCTGATGCTGTTTCTAACATTTTTAAATAAAATTTTGAAAATTGCACTGGATCATTCATAATACTTAAAAAGTTTTCCCCATGTTTTCCATATTTATTCACATCATCCCTATACTTCTCAACTTCTTCAAACATAGGTATAAAATCTGGTGATGGTAATGGTGATTTAATTTTATTATTTAAAATATCTTGTAATTCATCTGTAATATCTGTAATACAAACATTATCTTCAATAATAGAAAATTTTCTTTTTGATTTAGTTATAATAATATTTTTACTATCATTAATAACATTGGTAATATCAATTGCATCGGAAGGAATAAAAGGATCTAGAAATTTGTATAATAATTTTTCTTTATCAGAGTACGTACTAATAATCAATCCTTCAGAACCATCATTTAAAATTATGAATTCTATTGGAAGTTGATTTTTTCCCTCTAAATTTAAAAAATAAATTAATAAATAAAATTTTATATATGACTAATACAAGTTATTTTATACTGTTCAATGATGTACACGAAATAATACTAACCATATCTTGAAATTTGCATTCCAGTTTCTATCGAAAATATATCGATTATATCTGGAGATATATTCAATGCCAACAATGTTTGATTCTTGTTTATTACAATAACCATATCAAATTTAGACGGATCATATATATTATCATCAAGAATGTATTGCTTATCAAAAGTTATATCATTTCCATTTAAATCCCATTGGGTCATCCGATGTTCATCAAAAAGAAATAGCTTTGTTTGATATACAAAACAATTAACATTGATACGTTCTTCTGTACTTTCAGGAATTATTATATCGTACATTTGATTTGTTAACTGATTATTGTACTTGTAAATTTTGTAATCTTTCGATTCATCATTTAACGACACTAAAATTATATCACCATTAGGAAGAAGTCCTACCGAATTTCGCTCAATAGTAGAAAATTTTCTTTCACATTTTATTTTAACAAGATCTTTATCATCACTTAAATTAATACGAGCTATATAATCATCATTCTTGTCACGATACAACAAAATCAAATATTCTTTATATAATACAAGTGAATTTGGATAAATATTATGAATATTATAATTAGGGTCATTAAAATTAAAATATGTAACAGGTTTTTGTCGTCCATCCTTTTCAATATTAATTGACCATCCAATAATTGAATTATCTACTTCACTATAAGTAACGACAAAACTTTTGAGAGTTTCTCCAACATAAACTTCTTTTGCACTATTATCATCATTTTCTTCAACATTATTATTTATAATATCATTATTTATGAGATCCTCATCATAATCTTCTTTGTCATTAAAAGTCTTACTTTTGAGAATATCTTCACCATCAACTTCTTTTTCACTTTTAATATCAAGGATTGAATTATCTTCTTGAGAAACAATAATTCGATCAATTAATTCCGGTCCATTATTATCTATTATAATTCTAAAATCTTTAATACTTCCCATGTCACAATAATAAATTTAAAACTAAAAAAAAAAATTTTTTTTTTTTTTAATATTTTTAGGACTTTTATTTTATATATATATTAGAAAAATAACTTTTCAAGAAATGTTACACGAAAAATCGGAACAAAATAAATTACAATCCAACCTGGATGCACCCGAGCTATAATTTTAAATTTTAGCACAACCGTACCGCACTGCACAAGATACAACTTCTATCCTGAAAGTACTATAAAAATTTAAATTTGTAACCATTAGATATGCTAACGAATTTAAGTTAAAGGGGGATAGTTAACTTGTGGTACGGTAATAAAATCAAAATCTGTCAATTACTTTCCATATTACAATTAATTGTAATTACCTCATATGTTAATCTAATAGGTTGATCAAAAATTATTATTGCACAATAAGAAAATTATATTAATATTGTACACTGATCAATGAGTTTCTGAACTAACTAAAATTACTTTGAGGATGTATTTAAGTTATAAACATAAGATTAGAAAAGATCTTATAGATCACAATCTTGCATATTAATAAGTTCTATGCTAAGAATTTCTAAGATTGCCATCCGAATACATATCGGGTAAAATTGCCTCATGCAATGCACTGTTAACCGTTTTACAAAATATCAACAAAACAAGTATATCTCTCTAACGAAAGGTTGACGGGATATACCCGAATTACACAATAGAACCCGAACAATATGTCAGCAACTAAGATGAACTTACTAATAGCTACGCATTTCTTCAGGGCGTGAACTATTTGGTCAGTTAAATTGTAATTAAGTACAGCGAAATTACAACGTCACGTACGAAGCAAAAATATCATTTTTTATAGCATGATTCTTAATAGACGTATATTTAATTTTGGTATATCAAGAATGACACTTTTGTTAGACGGACATCCGGCGGTCATTGCATATTACCTTGCATAGAATTATATAATCCTTCGTTACACTTCGGTCTAAATAACAGATAAGACAAAAAAAATTCTAGTATGCATTCTTGACCAAAATTACTTTAGGCAAAATCGCGTCAAAATGTCATTTACATATTTTTTTATTACCGAGTTGCCAATTTTACCATTTACAATAATAGATAAGGAAAATACAATGTCAATCAAAACATTTGTACAGAATTTAGTTATTCGGTCTTCCCCCATCCAATAAGTGAGTTATTAGAAATACTACGGTGACGAATTCTGTATTATGTATTTACGCATGATGTAGACATCATTGTAATTGTAATTACAATATTAAAGACGCGAAAATGAATAAATCATTTAATTCGAGTATTTAAATTTTATTAAGCTGTTTAATTAAAAATGATGTCATTTCTTTATCAAAATATTTTGTTTTAGAGACTAATTTAATAATAGTGACGAAGTCAACTTTTAATATTAAAGTATAAATCTACCTATTTTTGTTGTATTTTGTTCGTGCGTTTGCGTTCTTGATAATGAATAATGGAGTATATTAAAAAAATTATTTTAAATACTATAATTATTACACATGATGAAAGCACGAGAATTGGTACTATAGCTGGTTTAATATGAAATTTATAATATGTAACATAAATAAAAAGTTGTGGTATTTCTTCAAAAAGTATTACAGCTACGGTTGAAATAAGGAACGATTTTTCTCCTTCATCTGTGAATACTCTTCCACTTTTATCTCTAGATGATATAATTCGTAATGCATCAATATCAAGACATGATAATAATAATGCTGTATTCACTATAATCCGATGACTTTTCCACCACTTATAAAAAACTCCCAACTTCTTCCCTTGTATAATTTCTCTTTCTTTCACAATTATAATGCATGCAAATATGAAATTAAGAAATAGTGGAAATATTAAAAAGAAGATACTATAAAAAAATGTTAAAAAAAGTTAATTTCAAATGGTATAATAAATTCATATATTTCAAAAATTCAAAATTTTCTTACGTTGCAGGGAAAATCCATATGTAATCTCTTCCATGATTGGATATGAATGTAATATCCAATGCTAAATCAATTAGAATCAATACAAATAAGAAAATTGATAAAAGATTTCTTTCTTCCTGAATTTGATGAGGATCACGTTTATCGCGCGTCATCCTTATGAGCTTTATAATAACCAATAATGTCAATATAGCAAATAAAATACAAGCCGCAAGAAGAAATCCCCAATATTCCTTCCAAAGATTTTTGGTTCGATGAGCTCCATATGATGCATCAAGGTAAGTAGTATTTCCAAATACTAATGAATTGATTTCTTTATATACGATTGTATCATTTAAATCTTTTAAAAGTTGATTTGAACTCCGTTCGTCTGTAGCATTAATGTCGACTCTCATTAAAATCTGAGCATTATATGCTGTAGAATTAAATTTGGCATTATAACTAGTATGAGCATCATATTGAAAATATTTGGTAATATTTAGACAACCTGTACATGAAATTGCTTTACGTAATTGACTTTCCATTGAAAATACAAATTCGTTTTTATGAACCGAAGTAAGATTAGTATAATATTTTGTTCCTTTGATTGTCAGTCGAATGATTGCACTTTCCGATTCATTTAAAAAATTATCCGAAGCGAATGTAACTAAACATAAATACAAAATATTCCGATTAATATCCGATTAATATTATGATACGCAGCGTAAGAAAACTATACTGACTAAATAATAAACTTACCATTAAATCTCCAAATATTTTTTCTAATACCTATAACATTCTGACCATTTGTTTCTTTTACAAAATCATCATCGACGGTAATAAAATAAATAGCATTAAATTTACTAATGGTAGTATTCAATATCTGCAATTTAACAGTGTCATCGTAAAATGTAACAAATTGATCATTTTTCGCGGGAATAGTTTGTTTTAAGGTTACATAAGACGGAAAGTCCGGAAAGTCATAAATAACTTGGTAAACACTAAAATTTCCTGTTGATGGGCTTATAGATGTATTATATTTAATGGTAAATTCCTTAGATAGTATATCATCTCGAAGATTTGTAGAATTTTTTAATGGAGTTGTAGACAATATTTTTGAACTTCCATATCCCCCTGGTCCTCCCGGAAATGTTTCACCTCCTTCAACTACGGAGATAAGAAAAACAAAGTTAAATATAAATACTTTTATTTATTTATTCATTTAAAATACTTACCTAGGGAAATATTTTTAAAATGATAATTGACATATATAGAAAGTTTTTTGTAACTAAAATCAAAAATTGAAGATTCATATGGAATAAAAACGATAATGTTATCGGAAGTTACAAAACTAGTGTAAATGTCAAGAGTCTTGAAATTAATCACTTCTTTTACTTCTCCATTGTTATTAATAAAATAGAAAGTTACATTTCCGTAAATTCTATGTATTGTCTTAATAACATAACCACCAAAATTTAATGGCTGAACATCGGTAATACCATCGTTCACCCTTAGAGGTAAGTTAATTTTTGTTGTGTTATAAATACCATTGCTTAAGAAATCAACTTCATAATATGTTGTTAATTGACCACTTTCAGTTGTTTGAATAACGCAACTATAACCTGATGACTGATATGCTATATTACATACGTATATACGTGTTATTTCTATTATTTCGTAATTTCGCAAGTGAATTTGAAAATAATTTTTAAATGTTTTATTATTTTGTAAAAGTGTAACAAAGATTGTTGCATCACTACGATTTACTATACCATATCCACCGTCTTCTGTTACGAATACACTCAAAAGATTCGAGTTAAAGTTAGATGTGTTTAAAGAAAGTCTAAGCATTAAAATTATATGAGTAAAAGATAAAAAAAGGATATACAATATATATATTTAACTTTAATTTAACTTACATGGGTTTTTCATTAATAGTCAATTGTAATATATCGTTTTCGAAATTATAACATAAAAATTCCAATTCATCAATATCACTAAGGTATTTAAGATACTTAAAAAATTTTCCACCACAAACAATGACAAAGTTATAATTTCTGTATTAAAATATCAAAAATATAATCAATACAATATATATATATTGTAAGTAGGGTGTATAGTACGTTTATTGATTTTACATACTTGATTTGAACTCCCTCCATATCGAATAATCTACCACAATCGAAATCTGTTGCGAAATCATAACAATAATATGTAGCCAAAATAAATTTGTTTCCATTCTTATCATCAACTGCATGAATTTTTACTTTATCCATGTTAATTAAGCCACATTCTGGTGCATCGGGGTAATTATCGCAATAACCACTTTTACATCTCGGATTAAGTGAATCTTTATTACATACATCACATCCTAAAGCATCCTTATTATTATTGCAATCATCACATCCAGGTAAATACGGTATATTAGAACAATCTATGTTACATACGTTAGCTCCTGGATATTTTGCACAGTCTAATGGCTCACCAGTAAGATTTGCCTTTGTAACTGCAATTTCTACACATTTGGGAGATGTCGGATACTTCACACAATTCAATGTCTCACCATCACATCCGAGAACCTGCTGGGTTTCGCTGCATTTTGGAAGGTTATTACATGCTGGAGGTTGGTTTTCTGAATTGTCACATGTAACTTTACATCCGAACCCATAAGGAGGAAATTTACATCCGAACCCATAAGGAGATGGTGATCCTGATGTTGGAAGAAAATTTTCAATTGAATTTGAACAAAAATTTATTTTATCTATAATAGAATCATCTGTAGAATTCCTATTAGAATTAACAAAATCCAGAAATGGTTCTCCAGTATAATCCAGAATCCAAGTTTTCTCAATAATCGTAAACGTTAAATTTTGCGTCTTACAATCTGTGGGATCTCTTTCTCTATTAATTAATCTTAATAAGATAGTTCCATCATGATAACTAATTCCTTGAATTATTTTTTGATCGTTACTTTCAGTTTCAATTGAAAAAGACTTAGCAACATCGGCAAAACTCAATTGAGGCAAGAAAATTATTATAAAACAAATATATAGTAACATCATAAGCCTCGAATTAGTCTCATTTAGGAAAAGTCCAAAAGATGACTGCATCATATTCGTTTCAATATAATGAACGGGAAAAAAAAGTACCTAATGGACTTAGAGAATGAATCTTGCGAATGGAAAACACTCAATATATGCAAAAAAAAGTACTGTACACACAAGAATGAACACAAGAAACTTTACGGATAACAACTCCAAAAACATAACTCTAAATTTACAGTATAAATTATTTTAAATTAAGGTTTTCTATATAATAGTATTACAAGTATAATATCAATTGTATTTAGTTGTATTGTAATTAATTTACATGTCTTTACTATTTTGTTACACAATCGTACAATTACACAAATTGGCTTGAATAAGTAATTAAAATAAAAAGCCGAAAAATATATAATTAGATTAAAAATAAAAAAGTTTTTGTTACTTAATCCTGAAATGTTAAGTTTGGCTTTAATTTAGACTTCCTCTTATGTTTATTAATTTAATGTTAACAATTACTAAAAAAATATTATTTTCTCGTGAAAATCGGAATTATCTAGATCAGTAAAGATTGACTAAAAAAATTGACATTTATATGTATTAATTATATCTTGGCAAAAATTTTACTAGGATCGGATAGAATCCATTTTAAAAAATTTTAAAAATGGGTAAAAAGCTTCAGAACTATTACTACTACACTTGAAAAATAATATTGATATTACAGATAAATTAAAGAAACCTTTCTCATTTGAAAAATGTAAATCTTTCTGAATTACACAAATTTTCAAAGCCATCTATTATAGTATAATCAATAGTTTAATTTTTATTCTACAGTAAATACATATACTGTATACTGTATATATTATAAATTATTGTACATTTGCCGATCAGCGAATAAATTAGAAATTTTTATATTGGTTATTTATATAAAAACAATGTATTCACAGGGAGCTAGTAGACTGATGATCACTATAAGCGTTCGCCCCTCAAAATATCCGAAATTATACCTAAATTTATTTTTTATTTAACCCAATTTTCTTTCGCAACATAAATATACTCAACCCTAAAGATATTATGTGTCGAGGCGTATTTTGCCGAAATGCCATGCAATACCATGTGAACGGTCACATAAATCTTCTCCAAAATAATAATTCTTTCGCTAACTATTCTCTTTTTTCAACCGAGCCTACAAAACGTTATGTCAGAATGAATACTCCTGTTCCAATTTTCACCCCTGAAATGCTCCTACTTTAGTTGAATTCAAAACGAAGGAACTTATCGATTTCTTCCGTAAGGAGGACTTGAAATATAATAAGGTTCTCGAAATTTTAGAAAAGCAAGAGATTATCGGTCGTTCATTTCTCAAGACAAGAAGAATATATACAATTTGGGATCTGCGGACCTCGCCAAGAAAATTAAAAAGAAAAAATTGAAATTTTCTTCGTCCTATTAAAGTCTGAGTGAGGTGTTAGGAAAATATGACATTAGCTCCGATGGTATAGAATCCATTCCATTGTCAAACCACAGACCCACTATTTTTCAAGATGAATTAAAGTATTTTAATCAAAAATAATGGTGAAATTATGGTGCATTGCATATAGAAACATGTACCATGGATTTGTATTCGTTTTTTACGTGTTATATCACACTACTATTATATAATAAAACAGGAGTTAGAGACTCGATTTTTTGTATTATTCTTCAGTAGTTCTTCAGTGATCACATTAGGGCAGGCTTATTTTTTGCTTTGTGTTTGAACACATTTATTATTGTTTGAATGTAAAAAGGAAAGGAATAAAAGAAGCACACAATCTAGCTCACCAGTACCCTCTATTGATTTAACCATCTTTCAATGAGACTACAATAACGGATACGAAATTCAAGAACTTTTACACCAAAGGTCAAAAAAAAATTAATCGTTAAAATACTAAATTAATCGTTAGCATATTGTAATATTATTATGAATGCTTAATTTTAAATTAACTTTGAAAGTATTGGCTTGGTTAAGAATAGTTAAAAGAAAATTAAGAAAATTTTTGCACTACGGCAAGGCTAGAAAATTTTATATTATGTAAAATTAGGGTATCAGATATGTTAAGGCCATTTACAGGAATCAAACCGATAGTCACCAAGAAATAATAGATCGTTTTATAAGTCAATATAGTCAAATTAAAGAAATGATCGATGGGCATAAAGATGATTATGTTTCTCAACCAATATCATGGTCATGCGTGAACTTTTTATTTTATCTAAATCATATATTAACGTATATACTTTATTGAAAATTTTGGATAAAAAAAAAAAATTTAGTTCTTTTTGAATTCAATAGACTGAAGATAAAATAAATTTTAAAATCGATTTAAAATAATAAAATTTCATATTTTTTTTACTAATTCATGAGAAAGAAAATTTAGGGAATGAGGATTCTCCTTTGCTCGTTGAGCTAGATAAGCATATGCCTTTAGTACTGGTGGGGATTCTGATTGTAATGGAAGAGTTATTAAGACCTGTAGAAACACCTTCGTGGTGTGCCTGTATCACGTTCGGTAATCTTGTGACTGAAATGATGACGTCTGAAATCCCGCCTGATTTTTTGCCCTTTAGCAGATAAAAGTTAAAGTTGATGCTAAAAGAATTTAAAAAACATGAAAGTCAGTCTTCATTCATACCATGGTATATTTGTAGAAGGCTACTCCGGGTCGAAAAAGTTGGTCGAATTCTCATCATCGGTTTCTCAATGTTTTCCAAATCTGGTCGTCATTATATTGGTCAGTAGGACCAATGTCAAAGTAAACTTTCTATGATATCATCTGACAGTCCTATTCCTACGTCCTGCCTTCAAGCATATGCTATCAAACTTTATTGCAATTTGATTTTTCATGCTCCATCATTATAGCTTTTCGTCCATTTTGTGAGATTTGTACCAAAGTAGCTGTTTACGATTTAAAGGACAAGAGGAAAATTTTCAGGCTCTAAACACAAGTATTGATTAATATACATGAATATAAATATGCGTGGAAATAATTTAACCGCTAAATTTTACATACTTGTACCGCTTACTCTTGCCAGTTTTATCTTGAAACTGTATTTAATATAATTATTGAAAACTCAAAATTTATTTTGATAAAACTCTACTTTTATCATGAATATATAAAACAATTCGCCCCTAATTTTATACATAACATTATAAAAAAAAGGTCAATTAATGGAATTTTCTGAGAATTTTTCTTATTTTTTTCATTTTTTTTTTTTTTAGGTTATTGTTTATTATTAAGGGATATTAAGGGATGATGATTGAATTATTGAAATCGTAATGTGAATTTATAAAATATAGCTTATCTCGTAAGACAATTTAAATGGAAACAATCAAACCAATAAGTTGATGCAAAAAGGACCTAACTAGAAAGAATTAAAACTAAATTGTTTTTCATTTTCGTGTGGTAAATTTCGCGATCTTCTTGTGTGTGTATAAAAGTTAAATATAGTGTTTTGCATGCAATAATTCCTTAAATAGCGATTTAATAGTTTATTTTCTTATTCATCTTTACAACAATGCTTTTCGGACTGTTAGTTTCATCATTGAAAAAAAAATCTCATATTATTCTGATTAGATTTTAGATTTTTTTCTCCTGATAATCTATAAATATTAGGTGGTATTCTTTTATTTCGTCAGCATTATAATCTTTCTTAGAATCATCATCATTAGTTCATTACCAATTCCAGTATAACCTGATCTTTACACTCCTATATAATCACAATCTTAAAGAACAATGTATATAATTTTTTAAAAAAATTATTTGTATATAGACTCAGACTAACAAACTTATATTATTGACACAAAAAAAACTCTAACGTGTTTATGTGAGGGAAAAACATACATCCGATATCCTTTTTTTTTAAGCCTTATAGCAACTCAATTAAGCCTTCTTTTTTAATATTTACCACCATAGTAAATTAACTAAAAGGCCATCCAGCTTTTATTTCAGATTCTTCTGCACCTATATGGAAACAAATTATTGAAACTAGCAAATGGAGCAGGAATACGAGTATTAGAGCAAACACTTGGAATGAATCATACTTTAAAACATTTATTTTGAGACTATAAAATTATTATAATGTTAAGCATAAAATATTTTCTCTAGTAGTAGAAAATCTAATTTATCTTTAGGTAACTATTTTCTTGTCATTTCAATGAGATAAGTTATAAAAAGTGCCTATGATTACTTTTCATTATAGATGAGGATGTAAAAAAAGAAATATTACTAAACTAAAAAAACTGATAGGTTAGTAAGAATATTTGAAATACTAATGAACTAGAATTATCTTCTAACTTATTATTAAACATATAGAAGAAAAGAAAGTGAAACACAAAAAAAAAACTTGAATACTATCTTGGTGAATATAACTCCTTCCAGTCTTAGACCCTATTTATTTTTGATTGCTTAATAAAGTTAAAGATAACTTTTGACGAAATTTACCATTTTTGTATATGTGAGAGGGATAATGAAGTTATCATCAATTAACCTATCAATTACAAATTTATTATAATAAGCAAATTAAGACCACTTTCTTTCCTAAAATCTTCTTAACAAAATTTTTTAAATTTAACAAAATGCCTCCACGCCAAATTAATGTCATCACCATCATCATCATCACCACCACCATATTGAGACCATACAGTGACAACGAAAATATAGTTGATGAATTAATCGAAGAGAGGAGAGACTTTGTAATCTGTTGATGAATTAATCGAAGAGAGGAGAGACTTTGTAATCTTGATCTTGCTAAGATTAAAGAGGATTTTGATAAGATTATTTTCAGACTTGATGTTACAAATAGGTTAAAGATCACAAAAATTGTTAGACTATTGAAGCACATGTAATTTAAAATATAATTCCCATTATAAAAAGGACACTTAGTGATAGATTTCAATATACTGATACTGAATTGAAGAAGGATGATTCAGCTAAATTTAAGGGTTCCCAGTGTTAATTTTTCTGTGTTTTTCTTCCAACTTTCTCATCATTTTTATAGAAATATTATAATATTATTGTGTTAATTTTTCACAAAGC